AAAATAATTAGCTGAATATATTACAGGTTAGTATAATAATTAGCTGAATATATTACAGGTTAGTATAATAATTAGCTGAATATATTACAGGTTAGTATAATAATTAGCTGAATATATTACAGGTTAGTATGATAATCAAATGAATATATTACAGGTTAGTATGAGAATCAAATGAATAAGAGTAATGAAGGTGAAAGCAGACTGCAATTTGAGATTACACTGCTATTTTCAACCTGAATTAACAACATGAGTTAAAAGGCTGGTTCAGAACCTTCTAAGACTGGAGCATAGCTACACCTAATTTTGAGCTGAAGGGCAGAATGAGAGCAAGAGTCATCAGCACCAGCCGTTACATGGCTACTCTTGACCAAATATGGAGGAGAGGGTGGATATCACAGCTGTGTCGTCTCCACAGCTGAACGTGCGAAGTGAGTTCAGCAACATATTAGTTGGGGTCCATTCACTTTATAAAGCTGTAAAAGCTTCACTTGGTGATTAAAGCACCCAAGTTTCAGGATATACACATTTCTAGGCACTGAAGGCAATGTTGTGTCGAAGTTCTGGAGGCATATCTCCCTTAATGTTACCAAAATATCGTTCCTTCAGTGTTATATTTGGATCATTGATGTCAAGATATTTAAGATTTTGAGTTGATTTCTTCTGATGGTGAGAAGAAACTTACTCATAAGGAAGCAGATAAAAAGATCACCAAATATTTAGCTATCGAAAATATCCGGTCAGAATAGCCTAAACAGTTGTTTATATTTGCGTTGCTTTTTCATCATCGACTCAATGCTCTTGGACTCTTTATAGATTAGTATTGGTAACAAGACAGAATTCAAGTCTCGTTTCCCACTCACTCAGTAGTTGGCACCCTCGGAAAATTCAAGCCTCGTGCCCCACTCACTCAGTAGTTGGCACTCTCGAAAGATTCAAGTCACGTGCCCCACTCACTCAGTAGTTGGCACCCTCGGAAGATTCAAGTCTGTTGTGTTTCATGCCTTTACTTGGTACAACTTTTGCAGTGGGTTTCGAAGCAAAGTTAAAATAACAGCTTGAAAAATTTAGGAAGAATTTCCTGAGGTTATTCCGACTTTCTACGGGCAGTCAAGATCACATCCCAGAGAAATAGATGTAGAAACGCTGGAGAGACTCGCCATCCTCAGCCATTCAATGACGTCAGAAAAAGTTCACTATTAATGCTGCAAGACGAGATTTGCTTTCAGGATCTAGTGTGACGGAAATGCTGCTGCAGTCCAGATCAGTCCTTCTCGAGAATATCCAAAGTGTGAACTTCAAGCAGATCATATACAGAGTCATCAAACAAAAGCTTTCCCATCTTGCTCCTTTCAATTGACTGGAGATGAAAAAAATATATAACAACAGATCACTTGTGCCAGCTTGGAGGTTCTTTCCTCCTGCGATGGAGGCTCTCAAAGGTTTGCAGACTTGTGAGTGAAAGAAAAGGTGTGTGCGCAATTGCTCATGCGTTAAAACTAACAGAGCCTGTAGTCTCTTTTGCCAGTGCAAAAGTCATTGTAAGAACTCACCGTGATTAGCAACCGCTCAATATTTGAATGTTGTTAAGGTGGTTTAAATATCTTACCCTACCAAAATTTACGTATCGTGACTAACTGATTATCATGTATATTGATTGCAATCATTAAAAGGATAGCAACTGAACTTGATTTGCTAAATGTAGCTACACTGTGACAACAATATGTTAATCAGTTTTTCAATAAATAGTTTCAAATTGTTCAAAGTTTCAACCTTAATATGCTAAATATAAAAAGAAAAATCAGTTTATTTACACTTGGATTACTCTTTACCAAGTAATAGTGGTATTGACCGTCACATTATAACACACACACACCCCACGGCTGAAAGGGCGAACATGGTCGGTGACGGTATTCGAAACTGCCAATAGTGAGTAGAGTGTCATAACCACTAGGCAATAAATCAAAGCTTTATTTATAAAGATACGATATTCACCATGTTATCACAAGTAGAAGACATGTTTTTAACAAGCATGTGGAATGTTGGTGCATTATCGGCCCAATAGTTAATAATCACAGTTAACCTAATTAGAACATATCAAACACACCAGTAGTTAATAATCACAGTTAACCGAATTAAAACATATCAAACACACCAGTAGTTAATAATCACAGTTAACCTAATTAAAACATATCAAACACCCCAGTAGTTAATAATCACAGTTAACCTAATTAAAACATATCAAACACCCCAGTAGTTAATAATCACAGTTAACCTAATTAAAACATATCAAACACACCAGTAGTTAATAATCACAGTTAACCTAATTAAAACATATCAAACACACTTCTCTATTCAGTGTAGTGATGCAATTAAAAATATTCCAAGTGGTTGGTAATTTACACTGAACAGTTTGTTTGGTTGTAGTTAAGCACAAAGCTGCACAATAGGCTATCTGTGCTCAGCTCACCACAGGTATCAAAACCCGGTTTCTAGAGTTGTAAGTCCACAGATTTACCGCTATGCCACTGGGGCGTGGAAAGTAATTAATAAACAATCATTCAACAGATATAAGCTTTGTTAATACATATGGAACACAACGTATGTATACATGTATATCAGTCTATAATGTTTTAACATTGGAGTCGCTTGTTCAGTTACTGGTTAATTCTTACATTAGCAAAATAAAAAATTTCAAATTAAATTATTATAATCTACTACACATAAAATTCAAGCTAAAATTTGTCGAATGAAGTTTTTCATACACATGCGCGTGTTATATCATTTACAAAGTTTAGAGAAAATAAAATAAATAAAGTAAGTATATTGAAAAACAATAAACGTATATAATATACTATTTCGAACGACAGCTTCAACGACATAGGCAGTTCGTTCGATATTTGTATTTTATTTCCGTTATTCAAACAATCTTCAAATACATGTATTTACTGTTGACAAAAGAAAAACGTCACGTTCATTCCATACTTACAGCACTGGTTGGATCGTGCTTTATCTGGGTATTGGTATATTCTTAATTGTGGACACCAGGGACAATCGCGCACGACTGATATCAGCAGGGGGTCTGGTAGTGTTGGTGGCGCTGGGCTACGTCTTTTCTGCACACAGAACAAAGGTAGGAAATTTCTTGTACGTCATACTCGTGTGTTTATTAAATGATTCTAGATAACGGATTTCTTAATAGCTGTTATTGTTGTTTTTCAATTTCTTTCTTCTTTTTTTCTATGTGTGGTGGAATAATTGTAATTCCTAAAAATACAAAGTTTATATTTATTCTGGATTATGCCATTGAATTTTTTGAGATATTATTTTCTAATTTAATCAATCAAACACAATTTTTGTTAAACATTACACTTGTATAGTAATGATACGTGGGGCCGAGCGCGTCCCAATGGCTAACATGCTGGGCTGTGTATCCGAGTTTTCGTGATACGCGCCCAATTACCACCAAAGGGAAAAAAAATCGCGTTCCGCCTTTGGGGCCGTGGGTGCGTTACAAGAGGGACGGTCAAATCCAATTATTCCATCACAATAGTTCATGACTTGGCACTGAGTGATGGTTACTAGCTGCCATCTATCTATTTTTTCACTTTAGAGTTAGGGACGAGTTAAGGTAGTCGCGTATTCATTTCTTAAGTATAATTTTTCTGTATTTATACCTTTTCTTCTAGAGTATGATACCTGAAATAGTTTTTAAGACGAAACTTTTGGCTCAGTTTTTTAGATGGTTCTAGTTCTAATTTTCTAATTCATCAACAGTGCCATAATCTTACTTATACAAAGTACGAGTTGTGTGATTGTAGGCTTAAGATATTGATCACGTTTTCTATTGTGAAATTTGAGCCATTTGATGTATCCTACAACTGGTAGTTGGGGCTTTTCTGAGCAGGTGATATTAGTTTCGACATTTCAAAATTTATCAGCACCTAATGCGACAAGCGTGTCCCCTAATTGCTGACCAAAAGAAGAACAACTAGTCACCACCACCTCAATGGCTACCATGGCTATAATGCCCCCACATTTCAAAGTGTGAAGTTGATTCAGTGGTATATTATAGCTCGAACTTTGTATCTTTCGGTATGCAGGCCGACATGCTAACTACTAGGCCACACACGCTTGGCCTATATTCTGAAAAAAAGTAAGTGGAAGAGATCGATGTCTTTTTTATGATTTTTTTTTCACATTTAAAACTGTTCATATGTATTTACTTCCATCATGCACTGTGAGACTTTAAACGTTTAATTATTTTGATTTTGTTTCCAGAAAAAAATTCAGGTTTCTACCGAATGAGTGGTAGAAAACAAACTTTACAGATGGAAAATAGTAAGAAAGAGATTACAGACTTCGTATTAGATAACAATTAGACACTTTAATTCTAACGCATACGTAAGAGAAACGTTATAATTAATATTAGTTTAAAGGTATAATGTTACCTGCTTCAAAGCACAACACATTTTGATACGTGTTTTTTAACATAATATTTGTAATGTTGCCCCCCGGTGGTACAGCGTTACGTCTGCGGACTTACAACGCTAGAAATCTGGTTTCGATCCCCGTGGTAGGCAGATCACAGATAACTCGTTGTGTAGCTTTCAGCTTAACTAAAAACAAACGGTTATGATACTAAATTACAAAAAGATCATAATTAATGAGTAATGTACTGTTTTCCAAAATTTTGAAGCGCAGGTAACTAGTGTAAGAGAATTAATTCTGGAGCTTTTTCTTTTTTTGAAGCCATGAAAACATCTATAGTTTGGCACACACATAAAAAGATTTGCGGGTCCGGCATGGCCAGGTGGTTAAGGCACTCGACTCGCAATCTGCGGGTCGCAGGTTCGAATCCCCGTCACACCAAACATGCTCACCCTTTCAGCCATGGGGGCATTATAA